GGCTTACATTCACAATTTTGGTCAAACGCAAAAAATGACTACTGCTTGGGACGACCATGTATGAACCAAACAAGTTACCAAATTTTGGAAGATATTATTTGAAGGATATTGTGATTATCTATGTATGGTACAAATTTCAAGTAAAAAAAGTACCGGAGCGACACTTATAGCATTACAAAGTTGGGCAAAAAATTACATTTTTTAGAAGCTTGAAACATTGCATTGTTTTCAAGGCGCCAAGGAACTTTAGTCTATCTCTTTCAAACTTCCACAACGATTTTCAAAAAGCAAAGATGTTGGTCTATTGGGATCTTGTTTTGTTTTGACGATAAGTTCAAAGGTGTGGCAGAGACAATGCCGCGAATTATGCTGATTTCCGTGTTTTTGAGACGCAAAAAATGGGGAAAATGGCCAGAAACCTTTGTTTGCCCGTTACCATGGAAATAAGAAGTTTTGATCTAAAAGAAGGCTATTTTGAGGGGTTGTGGACCAAGTACTACCACTGTACAAAATATGAGCCAAATCTATTTTTTGACCCCTGCCACAATTGTGTGATCCCTGCAGACATTTGCTCTTAATACTTAAACCAGTCAATGGGGTCCATTGAGACGTGGTATTGAAATACATGCACCACTATAATTACACAACAAAATATGTATATAAAAAAATCTCGGTTTCAAATTATAGGGTTATAAAATTATCGTTTCCGATAAGGATTTCTCATGTGATTTGATGAGCAAAATTCTTCTGACTTGTAAAATTTTGCTCATCGAATTTTGCAATCACTTATCCAACTTCAAGTTTCAACAACTATTGTTAATAATAAATTACTTTGCATCATTTGGTCACAATTGTCTATTTACGATATTTTACACATTCGTTAAAAAAGCAAACATGACATGTTGGAATATTCACTGGATTATTAGTTGTTAATAAAAAGAAAATGTTGATTTGCAGCATAATTGCAGCATATACTAATATATATACCCTTGGTCAAAATAACAAATTACGCAGTTTGTTACGCTTTTTGAGTTTTACGTCATAGGACCAAAACCTCTGAGTGTGATGACTGATCATCATTTGAGTCAACAAATTAGTGATATCGGACAAACGTTAAAGCGGAATAGGTGTCACCTGCGCACGCGTGGGAACACAAAGGCTCATGGGTAAACACTATGGCCGTCTGCCGCATACGCGGCGCAGGTGACGACTCCCCCGCTTTTATACTGTCGCGTTTGGGAATGGTATTGTTGGTTAGTTGCCGATTAATTATTTCTCATACAATTGTTATTTTAGAATAATTAACCACTCAGTGTTTAGTGTCAAACAAATCAACACTAAGTTGTCTTTATTGCTTTTTCTTCATAACTATTATGAATACTTAAATTTGCGTAACCATGACACCAGACGGAATTATTATCAAAAACGGGAATTTACATGTGCTCAGAGATATCAGATTCACTCGTGAGATAGATCTTAGACAAAAACGACCACCTAGGTCTGAAGCGAGAGACCACATTATCTATTGACTCTCAAACTCGAACCCACTGCTCAAAGCAGATTTGCATACGACTCATTTACATGTATGATTATGTATGAAACAAGAAGTTAATGTCGGTTAACTCCGCCATGCTCATGGCAATCAGGTACTTTAATACAGTTTAATAACACGACCTAAATCTGAATGGAATATTCGGTTAATTAGATTAAAATAGATAACAGTTTCAACTAAACAAACAAACTTTTATTCAAGCAAGTTATGACAGGCATAAATTCAGAAGGGAGGGAAACACTTTTGCGTGGATAAATTTGGCGACGAATACAATTTTATTGTTTGTTGATATTTTCTTCACAGTGGCTGGGTACTATGCTGTCTTATTCCGTTCTGTATCAACGCCTGCAAGGACGTCGTTCACTTCTGTCCTAACTGTCATGCTGTGATTGGTAAATACAACAGACTAGGCTGAATACCGGAAGCAGATGATGCGCATGCGTCGTTGATGTTATGGACGGAGGAGCACATATTACTCAAGAAGAAGATTGGATAATATAATCCACTAACACTATAATGTAATCAATGCATCGGAACCGTAAAGTCAGCCAGCTATATTCAATGTCCACGATTACTAGATATTTACATATAATCAAATATAATCTAAATGTTTAAGGCGCCCCTGAAATGGATAGGAGTTATACGAATCGATACGTTCCATCGTCATATGTCGAGATCCGCGCCGGGGTCAGCACAGACATCCCCCGCACAGCCAATTATGCACATGTTGACGCCTAGGAACACAGCGTGGTTAGCTAATTAACACAAGCACGCACATGTATTGCACATTAATCGACCGTTATTAAACACTGCGCAACACTATCAAGATTGTTGAACTGTACTGTAGTTTAAATACGCCCTCACATGGCGATATAAACACAATATTATTCACTTTTAATAAATGTGAATTGACTAAAGATTTACATGAATTGGTTAGTGAGTTCATTTCAATTGAGTTTGGTCTATGAGTCGACAGCAAATACAAACGCGACCGCAACACGCTACCGATGTTCTATCACGGGGAATATTCTCCTCCTCTCGGGTTCTCCACACGTGCCAGGGGGGAATCTCGTCTCGTCTCTATGTCTCGTCCCCTGGAGGTGCGGGATCGGGAAAGTCACTTACGCCTTACAGACAAATAAGACACACACAACGAAATACGTTTCAACTCTCGTCTTAGTCGATCAGTCGAGCACTCTATAAGACACAGCGCCCTGGGGAAAAATCCCCAAGACTATCGCAAGGCTGACCCAAGACTAGCCCAAGACTGGACTGCCTCAAGGCTCGCCCCAGGACTGGACTCTCGACTGCGTCTATCGTGGAGTATTCGCCAACACCAACTAAAACAACTTTATTCATTTTCAAAACTCTAACCAATTACAAAACAGTAAAAAGACTCTAGGGCGTAACCTTCAATCATAAGGCCAATCACACTACGTACTGAATACGTCATATCTTTTGATTAATCGTTCACTACATTAATAACTACGGATACCAACTGTCAGAATGAGTAGTCAGAATAGCGACGGTTATCTCGTAATTAGTTCCAAATCACTGAGCCAAGTTCCGTCCAAAACTTCAAATAGGCCTAAACGATGACAGACATAACACAGCAATTCGCTAATAATCAGCTAATTAAGTCGGTCAACAGATACGCGTAAACAAATTCATGACAGTTCGGTCGAACTGGTGGACAAAAATCGTCATTCCCAGAGTAACAACGCGAAATAATCACCTAAATTTGATCTCTTTAAACTACAATATAATATCACGTGGCCACAGCCTATTCGATTAACAAAACACTTATTGGGGAGGGGGGGACTAACGATTGAACGATGTTTCATTGCTATTAGAACTAGGAATGGCACTAGTATAGCAATGCCAATTGTTCGCCTATGCTTTTAATCGACTGTTACGGCGCTATACGCCATACCGCGTCCTTGTCCTCATATGCGACACACATTGCATATAGTATTACAATTCTGTGAGACTCGCTGCAATAGACATACTCCACTTATTATGTGAATGCAGATGTTAAAATGTTTTTTTTATTCTCCAAGCTGTCTAATAGTTTGACTTTTTTACTAGCAGTAGCGAACTTTGTTGACATTATGGAAATCCTAGTAAACAACCATCATAGTAAACGGCTAAGATCTTAGAAAATTTCGAAAATCCTCAGCGCCTGGTTGTGTTTTTGAATGAACCAAATAAATCTGTATGTTATTTTCCAGGTACTGAATTCAGTTGATAATTATATGTAGCACCTCTATTCATATTTTCTTGAAGTTATCTGAGACATTCTGGTCATATTTTGTAAACTACGCTTTTGAAAAAAACAAACAGTACAACAGACTTCTCCTGCGGAAATATAGAAAAAGATAATAAAAGTTGTTTATCCAGAGGTTGAAATATTATCACAAAACTGGTATTACGTGACAATACTTATCCTTCTATATTGAATTTGAATAAATACCTATCCTATTACCTGTAATTTTGTATCACTTTATTTTTTTTCTTCGTGAAATGAAAATTCAATTTAATTCAAAAGTTCACTTTAAATAAATCAAAAGTGATGCCCAAATCGATGTTGCAGAAATCATAGGTAATTGTGGGTAATGTATAGAAGGGTGATCAAGGAAAATCGTAAGCAATATAACTTGTTGTCAATAACAAATAATATTTAATCATTTCAACATTTCAATTCCAATAACCCTGGGCCCAGAACGTGGCGATTTTCAAGTTCGAAGGGCCAGGATACACGTATGTCAAATGCAGCGATGTAAACGCACTTATCAGTAGTCATTCCCTGGCGTTGCAAAAAAATGTGCCGTGACTATAATTGTTTGAGTCAATATTTCTCATGAAGCGAATTCGAAATACGTCGAAGGAATTCCCGACATCGCAAACTTGGACGGTAAACAGAAGTGTCCCACAGTGCAGTGAAAATCCGTATCAGACGGTGCACGCATGCTTACCAGCTTATTTCAACGTAGGATCTAACGTTCTGTATTTATTAATAATATTTGATGAACGAAAATTTTAATAAAATCGCCATATACCAGTTTCTATTTGTTTGCGAAATTATTTTGTCCAATTCTATGGTTAAACAAGATAATTACACAATTTACCGACCAATGCGCAATCATTATACTTGCTATTAAAAACGTGATTTAAAATTGTTCATTGAAAATACATTATATCTGCTACATGGAGATGAAATACAGTTGAAACGGGAAACATATGTCACGTGATCAGGCACTTTGCACGCATTTCCAAGATAAGTCAGTTTTTCCATGTATTACGAGTTTGAAAATATGTTTTGTGTCAATGTGCTTGATATGAAAGCAAAGGATGCAAATAATGTCTCACATGGTCGTCCCTGGGGTTAAATATCCCCCACAATTTCAGATTCAAATGAGTCAATATTTCTACGAAGAACACGTCATTTCATTATTCGTCTACATGTAATAACACGCCTCCACTTTGAAGAGTTAAGATTAAATATTTGAATTGTCTGACTGTTTGTCCCGTTACCATGAGGATGCCATGGACATTTCATTAAATGACAGTTAATCAAAACGTACGTGCAACTTATTAACACACGTTGTATGGTGTCTAGCTAAATGGTTGTGCGCGACTCGCCGAGAGAGGAGCAGGGGGAAAGGAATATAACTGCGATTGTTTGTAAATAGGAATCATCAGAGACAACATGTACATATAAAGCGTTGCGTCATATCATTCAATTACAAACTTAACGCTTGCAAGGTGAAACTGATGTTGTTTGTCACTTCCAACTTAACCCCCTAGTATATTAGGCTAGCCCGGGACCAATCTACATAAATTATGATCTCTGACATTTTTGTCTCCGATTGATTTTATGCCAAGGCAGAGCAATATTCCAGGGTAGAATCCGCGTTCAGGCTGCGAGTGGGTTGAAATTCAAAACCAAATATTTTGTGTCTGTAAGTATTAAGAGAAGGCACTCAAGTCCATATTTGCCACGCAAGACATTCACGTGATCGCAAATTCTGCTGAATAATAATCAAGGTGAGTGTGCACAAGACGATATTATTATCACTTTATTAATAGTTAAAAGTTTGCGTAAACTGTTTTTTTTTTTCTATTTCTACTTCGACGATAACATTACACCACAGAACGAGTGTCATCGTTGGCAACCTAATAGTGACGTTTGGTCGTCTCTTTCTTGCAATAAAAATGCAATGTTGTGTGATTTCTCCTCTTCGAATACTTCACGTAGATCCAACAAGACATGTTGCGATGACCACCATCTTATCAACAGTGCTGAAGTTAATTGTTTTTTCGTTCATTTGCTGATATTAGAGACGATGTAAGAAAATGACTGTGCATCTGTTTTCATAAATACACAAAACAATATCCAACAAAGACGTATATGCATAAAATGAAGTACAAACTTGCATGATTTTTTTGTATTTCTCAATTATTTAAAACGCCATCCGACAATTCTATACGATATATTCTACTTAAAAAGGTCTGTTAGTACCGGTCAATGTTGCTAGGAAAATAAACCTATTCTTAATCCTGGGTATGGGCTAGTGAATGTGTCTATTTGGGGTTGTACTTCTCTCTGAAAAATAACAACAAATAGTTGTAATGGAATATGTCAGCTAAACGTGCTGCACATTCGCAAACGAAGACAATTTTCCAATTCTATTACTCAATAGCGAATTCGTAATTATTGCAAAGTTTCGTTTAATTGTGTTTTCGCGGCCCATCAACAAAATAAACTACGATACTCGTGTAATCGAGGCTTGAATCACCTTATATGTGCAACGGGGGATGAACGTACAATGTTCTATTGTCAGGCCAGTGGGCAGAATTACTGTTATCAATTGCCATGGCAACAACCACAAACATATAACTCCCCTTATATTAAGTTGGTGTTTATAATTCACACACAGCCCAATAGTTTGATTATTTTTACTAGCAGTAGCGAATTTTGTTTAACAGTATGGCGAACCTAATAAACAACCACCTTGCTAAACGGTCCATAGACAATTACGAACATCCTCAGCGCATGGTCGCGTCTTTGAATGAATCAATTACATCTGCATTTTAGGTTCCAAGTGATGAGACTGAGATTGAGTTATGTTGGCTATTATACAGAACATGTAAGACCTCTATTCATTTTCTTTCAGCAGGCATTATGTTATCTGGGAGTCAGCGCTTAGCTTTGTCGAAGCTGACCTCACATGGGCCGCGGCATGCCTACATCATCAGGTTTATATCTGACCACTCTTATCAATTCCCATAGCAACAAACAGAACATATAGCATATATCATCTCTTATATTAAAATTAATGCAATTCATACAATCTATACGTTATCAGGTAGTAAAACAGCCATGAGTGAGAAAACGGATCTCCCACACCCAGCAGATGACGTCCCGCCTCCATCCTATCCGGGTCAAGTAGAAGGACCAGCTGATGTAGAGGATTCTAAGATGGTGGTGACGTACACAACAATCGCTGCTGCTCCAGGTACGCAGTATTAATCGAGTTTTGCAAGACTGGTGCCTGCTGGTTGGTGCCGGATATGAAACGCTGAAATATAATTATATTTATATTTCATTTTCGGGTCCTGTTCATTCGGCGAGTTCGTGAAACAAAGGAAGTCTGGCCTTAACGCAGTATACCAGTCTCGATTTTATACAGCGCAGCCAGTGGCTGTTCCCGGCTTCATGTGTCTAGTCACAGTGATGAGGGCGCATTCATTAGACGCTCTTTAAGGTTTTTGCCTCGTCGTCGTATTTGGGTTCCACCTCTCTTCGACCAAACGTATTCCTGAAGATCAGTTTTCATGTACCCCACTTTGTTCTGTAGGAAGTACTTGGATTTAAAAGAAAATGTCTTATATTCTTTGATTCTGCACGTAAGAGTTATTTTGTACTGTTCATTCCAGGACTAACATTATTAACATTTATAAACCACAAAAACGTGACACTAACTAAATTTCCCATCTGAATTGTTTTGACGTTCACAAATCATGCCAATCGATTAAAGGATTGAAAATTTCACGACCCTTCCGACTTTCAAATTATTATCTGGTGACGGACCTTATTACCTTACCACTATTTTTTTTTCTTGTGTTGTAGTTGTACATGTTGTCAGTTATAGAGAAGGTCCGGTTCGCGTACAATGTGGGCAGTGCAATGAAGAAGTCGTATCAACGGTATCTTACAAACAGGGTATTTTAACGTGGCTATTATGTTTCTTGATGTGCCTGTTTGGGTAAGCTTATTCATATATTGACCATTAGAAGCTCCACAGGGGGGGGGGTAGAACTTACTTTTTGTATTTACTTCACCTCGTTTTGAGCTACGATGTTGTTACATGTATATGTGTGATATTCTAATACGCATGTTTATTTTTATGTGACTTTTATTGTGGATTTAGTTTGACAAAATTTACTCTGTAAAATTCTTTTCAAATTCAATCACTAAAGTTTTTAATGGTCGTCCCCCTCGGATAAGACTATACATCGACCTGCCTCGATATGGTGTATCGATTATTGTGTATCGATAAATATGTATCAAGACAATCTGACAGTGTCCATAAAACAACTCTAATTCGAGGTCGTAATTTTGTTCTATTTCACTGCAGTTGTTGGCTATGTTGTTGGATTCCCTTCTGCGTCCACGGATGCAAAGACATTGTTCACACCTGCCCGAAGTGCGGGGCGATACTCGGAAAGCATAGCAGGGTGTAGGACATCGACGAAGAACGAGGAACGTGCCAGTTGTGTGACAATCAGCTACCTGACTAGCGCCATCTGCGTTACAAAGACACGTCTCCTTTATACTTACATATAATATTCAGATAAAATAAATAAAAAATACGGGAAGAAACTTGTTACAAAGCATAGACAAATTTACTAAAAATCTGATGTATTTTTATTTGCTTCCGTATTTTTCTAATTACAATGTCTTCCAAGAATTCACAACATTACAAAATGCATTATATTATTTTTCTAAAAACGTTGTTCGTTGAAATAAGCATTACATACTGGTATGACACTTGAATCCGTCCAGAATATTAAAGCGGGGGAGTCGTCACCTGCGCATGCGTCAGATTGTCATGGCGTGTCATTGTTTACAAACAAGGGTCTACCCATGAGCCTTTGCGTTTTTAGCGTGTGTTGTTATCGTCGCTTGGGACTCAATTCCCTTGCGTGCGCAGGTGACGACATTCCCGCTTTAACATATATTTTGTAATATATCACCAATGAATAACTTTTACTTCAAGTTCTATTGTAATTATTGTAATTTATATCTATGCATATTAAATTAAGGTTATTTCGTTACACGCAAAACATGTGTTAAACACAGTGACGTCACACCAATTCAGTACCTTTATGTGAGTCAATGATAGTATCCCATCGTTTAGTCGGCACCACAGTCGGCAACACTTCATAATAATGGTATTTCCAGGGCACGACTCCACACTGATTGTTATAGACGCAGTGCAGGCAATGTATGACGTCCCACGCCACGGTGCATGGCTCGAATACTCTACGACTTGAAAATACTAGTTTCCAACGATCCGGAATCCCATTCTGTTATATAAACGAAGGTGGTTAGTTATATAAGTTGTCATAATCGTCGCACCCGTTCTGTTTGATATGGGTCCCATGCGACTAGTACAACGTGTGTAAAATACATTGTTTATATAAAATGATCTCGAACAAGTCTTGTACAACATATGTGGCTCTTTTTATAAGATGTTTAAAGGATCCTGAACAGTACAGAAAGACCGTGACGTCACCCGTATTTAACATTTATATCATATCTTCGAGGTTCAATGTCTAAAGGGCAAACACTGACGGATCTGCAATCGAGTGGTTGTAATTCACTGTGCAAGCTTTACTCCCGTGACCCAAAACCAGCGTACGAATCGGATTCATCCATCGTTGAAAACTGGTCCACCTAAACATATAGCGTCCAAATACAACGCCAACAATTACAACAGGTCGCCACACTACCGCTAACAATATGTCAGAAAAGTCATCTATACACGATAAGGAAGACATAGGCGGTGTCATTGTTGAAAAGAACCAGATAGAAGGTAGGACATTTTATCTCAGATGCCTATCACGCTTATTAGATATATTCACGCTAGTCTGATCTGTCGAGGCCATCACTTCAAGTTTCGTACGACCATGGTACGACTAACCGTGAGTGTAGACTGAATCTGTGACAGAGTCTTCATTCCCGGCAAAACACATATATTGTGTTTATTCTAGACAATTAAAATCGAATCATGTTTATTTGTGCCTGCCTCGCAGACCGAATTGCCCCCTTAAATCCAGGTATGCTATTTCGCATGGTGTTGACTGACGTCAACGGCCCTAGCGCAATTGTATTTTGCATCACAGATGTCGAACGAGTCACAGAGAATTGACCAGTTCCTAGCTCTTAGAGTAGAAATTAAGGCGAGAGTGATTTGGTTTGTGAGAATGAACGATTTTAAACCTCAGAAATTTGCAATAGCCATGGATACGATGTGAATACTTGACAGATAACAAACAACACAAACATAAACTCAGACATTTCTTATTGTATATTTGTTTAATTTATTGACACAACCTAAATGATACCTGCTAGGGTTACAGTGTACGGATTTATTTACAACCATAGATTAATGAGATTAATACCTACATCAGGGAGCTGTAATGAGAGCTCTCTGCCTACATGCAACAACTACATTCAGACACGATAATAAATACATACATGTTCTATATAATTTGTTCACGCCTCTAAATATGAATCACCCAATCAGCCTACCATCACTCAAGTTCCCTGTACTGTACAAATCATAATTCCAACTCTGATCGTTTTGTCAATTTTCAGCTTATCATAAAAGCCAACATTGTTAAATGATAATAGTTCGGTGTTATTTGTGAGACTGACGATCTAAGGTATCGACAAACGGGATTTTCCCCAGAACTTGATGCCGTCCCACATACTAGGTCTATGTTTCTGTGTAAACCCAAACAAATGTAAAATACCTCTGGCACACCAATGTCATTGCAATGACAAGTGACAGTGTAGTTTTTTTTTTCCCACTAAATATCTAAAGTTACACGCGGTTCAAGTTGTCATTCGTCGTGACTTCAAACAGTGGCGTTTAATAGTTTACGTCACGACATGACATGTTCGTAGCGTATATTAATATTAAAATATATGAAAAATAATAAAATGAATACGATAAGTATGATATCTGCTCCGTGTCTGAGGTGCCAGGAATATCCCACAGTCACACAATTGTCACTGAGCGTATAAGTTCCCCACAGCAATTGAAAACGCCTGCTTTCCGTTGCTATGCAAGGGTGGCCAGGGTATGAGTTTGACTTAGACTGGAAACTTGAATAAAGTGATTATGTAAAGACTGAATTATTTTCATGCGATGATATCCAATTAGTGTGCTGATTATAAAACCAACACATACCATACGCAGATGATAAATCGGCGGTCATTTGAGTCAATTAGAACACTACGATCAAAGATTTTCCGCTTTCGACATTGTGAAATTCCTTCGTTTTTAAAGGGAAAACCTAAAATCATATTTATCTAGTTATTGTTCATATTTTGTTTTTCATTTTTTTTCATTAAATAACAATGAAGGAAAGAATTTCACAAAGTTGAAAACGGAAAGTATTTATATCGCAGTGTTTTACAAGCATGTGCGTATATTTCCATGGTAACAGTGAACAACATTTATGCTGTGTGCCATGATGCCGTATTCTGAGAAAATTACCCAAATGTTAACCAAATTGCCACTTTTCAACAATGGTGACAGCTTTTTAAATACGACCATTTTCTAGAAAAAATGGTGACGCCAAAATTTATTTGAAGACAACATCCCAGTTGACAGTAAAATTTGCCGCAAAATTGATAAATTCTGGATGTTTTCATGAACCCATTGGTATAGTTTGTTTGGGTACTCAATTATTGTTTTTAATTTGAAACAGTTAAGCGATCATTATTAAAATCAGTGTTTAATGTGCATGTTAAAACATTTTTCCGATTGTTTGAATTGCATTTTGTTATAAAATACAATCCTTGCTTGCGATCATTGTCTCACAATTGAACGCGTTGAACGCCGCTAGATGGACATTATTTTCCTGATTCGCGCCCCCTAGTGGCGAAGCGACTATTGACGTCATAAGACATTGGTAACGTAACAAGTAATGTTATCAACATTTTAAGTTGTGCAGTCGTCCATCGTGTACGTAGAACATAAAGAATCACATTTCATTGAAGGGCGACAACAGATCAAAGTGTGGTCGACGATGTGACATCGCTTCTTGCAGCAATTCATATAAGCAATTCGTCACTAGAGGGCGCGAGTTAGGGTTTACGTATAGTATTTTTATAATCCTTGCCCCCAAATCGTGTTCTGTTATGAGGTGACTTTTGTATGTCACTTCACTTATCGATTTTAAAAATAAACACATTATGTATATCTTTTGTAGATGAAAAACTGTTTCTATTCAACGAAACCCCTCTCAGAATGGAGTGCAACAAGTGCGACAAGCAGGTCCTCACCTCCACTCATTACAAGACCGGTCCGTTTACATTTCTTTCCTGTTGTGTCTTGAGTGCCTTCTGGTAAGTACGGCATGGTCAAATGCATTCGTATAGGTTACGCGTTAGGGATTTCGAATAATGGACTACTTGGTTACTTTCTCACTCATTGCCTTCTTTCATGAGTGCAGATTGTTGATATAGATCAGATAGTATCAGTCAATTGCTTGTAAAAACAAAGTGTTGAATCTCGCTATGTTATGTTTAAAACCGCTTGTGACATAATAGTTTTGACTTATAACTTGAATTAACTGGATGCGCCGAGTTTCACCAACTGAAACCAACTGTGTTTCAATTGGTTCGAGAAGCATTTTTTTTCTTTTCAAATTCTCACAAGTGATTATAGTGACGTCACATACTATTGTATTCTGCATCTTTTGCAGTTTATGGTGCGGTTGCTGCTTGGCTCCTTTTTTTAAAGACGGGTTTAAAGATGTCAGCCACTCCTGTCCGCATTGTGAGCAGGTGCTTGGTGTCTGGAAACGAGAGAAGGGCGACTGAACTGCAATGAACGCGATAATTGAATGGTTGTTCATATCCCTGTTTAATTTCAGAACCATCCCTTAGTACATGCACAATTTATGCGTCGATATTATTTGTAGGTAGTAATTTCACATTTGTTATATGTTATTTGTTTACTTATGTTACTGTACGGTGAAATCTACGATTGCGATGGCCGTCGCGATGCATCGTGTTCGACGTGAGTCCCACACGACGTATACGACGCGTGTATGCATGAAATTAGAATATGCACTCCACGACGACCACCATCCTTCAATCTGTTAATATTTCAGTGTGTATACCGCTATTCCCTCATTGTATCAGCCTGATTTTAGCCAATCAAATGCCTTACATAAGTCTGCTGATAAGAGACAGTCAATCACTGTTGGATGGAAACTAGCCTTACAGATAGATCTCTATTGTATTTCGTAACTGGTTCATCTTTAATTTTTAATGCATATGCGTACAATAGGTGCTTAAATAAAGACTACAGTTATCATCTATCATCTGTTTATTTCTTAGAACTAAAACAAACGCCACCTTTTCAGCGTAATTAGATAAATTAAATCGCAAATATGGCAATTAGTATGACGTCATAGTTTGTGCAGAATTTTTGAAATATTTATGATCATATACTTCGAAATAAATCCTTTGATTGTCATTTCTAAATCAAAAATATAGATCGTTGAGATAAGAGTGGTATCGCGCCACGTGAGTAAATATAGCGATTAACACAGACTATAGTCATGCGAAGTTATGTTTAAAGTTATAATTGATGATGACAAGATCCTTCTCTGTCACGTGTCGATGCCTTATCACTAACAGATCAGCTGTTTTAGTCAGAATGAATACGCCCCATTGTTCCTTCGACAATCTTAACAAATTACGACGACCCAACAATATACAACCATTACGGGTCGCATAACCACATAGTTGGAGAGGGCAATTATTTTAATCCGCCTAAGGGGTCTGATAATTTGTGTGACTGATTGAAGATTATGACAAATGTATTAAACGCCTTCCTTCTAACCGTGAGTCAACAATGGCATGCTTTTGAGGTGACTAATCAGTGTTTATTCATTTAGTCCCCAGCACCTCATCAACCATGCCAAAAATCTTATGAATATTAATCAAAATATTCCGTTATGACCTGAAATGCCGAGGGGTCATTGATCTCTTATCTCCGAGCGGCCATCTTTGTTTGTATAGCAATTCTACACTCGTGACAACAAAACACTACTTAGGTCACTGTTCACAATGACCCATATATGACGAGCTTCGTTAAAAACACTTGTACGCCTAGCATTGCTTCTCAATAAGATTTAAGTAATTATTATAATGTAGTTATTCACCCCGACGAATAAAAAGTTTAACATTCCTCATTTACCGCAGTAAATATGTTTAGTTTAGGGGACGTCAATTATTGAATGAGTAAACACCATTTCGGCATTATGGTAATAATGTATATGGGATTTATCTGAGGGGTGTCGCTACTATCATAATACCGAATTTTAAGCGAGCGGATAAAATAAAGAATACCGGTTCCTGCGCAAGTAAATGTTTTGCGTATTTGTATGATCGAGATGAATTTATGACAGCGTGACAACAGCATACTGATTCAGCGTCAGGTGACCTAGTGTCAACACTACCGACTACATCACAATAGACGTCATTACTACCATACTGAGTGACGACCTACGAGATCTTCACAACCATCGAGCTCACCATGACGGACCCCCCGCCAGATTACAGTCTCACCGTCGTTTCTCAACCACCGTCTTCCCACTCCACACAAGGCGTCAATGTTCCACAGCCTGCCGATAACCCAAGTTATCCACGACAACCACCCATCGTATACAATACACAACTCGGGTACCCCCAACAGCAAGGGTATCCAGTACAGGGGTACCAAACTCCACAGTTGCAAACCAAAGAGGGTCACCCAATACCCCCTCTACCACCAGGAACGCTCAATGTACTTCCAGGTAAGAAAGAACAATGCGTCTAGTCTATGGAATCGTTTATAAAACAGGTTGGTCTACTCGCTTTGGTTTAATAACTTGTATTGTACTTTAGTATATCAAATATTAACATTCGTGCTGTGTATCGGTTAATAAGTAATTACTTATATTATTATATTACAATATTTATGTTTGGACAAACTTTGTCGTTATTTATTATCAGATCAATTCAAACGTTTAGTGTACTATAAAACGAGTTAGGAGTGGGTCGTTAAGTTCTAAATCAGTTCTTATTCTACAAAATAAAATATTTTGTGTAAGTGGTATATTTAATGCCGCTCACTTTATTTCAAACTTCTTGAATGCCTGCTGCCTTAGAGGTATTCATTAATTGTATACGTATGAAGGATGGACAAATACTTGGCAAGGTGATGATAAATAAGCGAAGAACATCATTAAGACGTGCTCCATAAAAACTTTTTATATGTATATATTGTATTTTATTATTTTTAATCCCTTGTTTGGTATTTCGATATTTCATCAAATACAAAAAGAACACGACATTTTTGTCGGATTTCTATGTTGGTGATTAGTTAGCTCTTTTCTCGTGACATGATAGACGATTCAGTGATTTGGTTAGTGTCTTCGGTGGTCGTCGCGCGGCGTCCTGTTCGCCATGATGGGACTCATAGCGACGTATACAACGCGTGGAAAATACATTGTTTGTTTAAATGCGCTGTGTGACGACCACAGCCCTTTAATAGGCGAGCTCCCGGTCATTGTTTCATGGTTGCCAGGTTACTTGGTTACGTGCGAGGCAGAAAAAAGAAGGGGATGGTAAATTTTTCAACCGGTTGTCAAGAATTCCGTTTGTCTATTTTTTTCGTAATTATGAATTTACGTACGGATACCAACATTTTATTGTGTGAGTGTGTATGAATGTAAAACACGTTTTCTATATTTTATGAAAAGTTTGTAAACTTTCAAGGTTACAGAATCAATTTGACCGTTTGGAAATTGACGTTTTATCATGTGCTTAACAGGTCAACAACAATGGGGAGAGGCGCCCTCACAGGCGTATTGTGGCAACTGTAATAAAAGTGTGATGACAGACACAGTGTATAAAGCTGGTACATTTACCTGGATATCCGCCGGTATAATTTGCCTGTTTTGGTGAGTGAACTTTCAACTTTAACCCTATGTCAACTGTAGTCATTTTCTTTTATCTACTTGCTCCAAAATTAACAAAATATCACCACAAACACATCAATGTGTACGAAATGTTGGTTATTTTGAATAATTACAAAGCAGTTTACGTGAAACTTGATCATACGTCTTTTGTTATTATTATCCTATGTACACACTTAGTATATTTTCTCATATTATTCATTTATTCCAGTCTCTGGTGTGGATGCTGTCTTATCCCATTCTGCATCAAAAGTTTCAAAGACGTTCACCATTCCTGTCCGGAGTGCAAAACAAAGCTTGGCGTGTTCCACCGTGATAAGGGATTGTAAATAACGCCGTCATCTTGACATAATTGGTGTGTTTTTTCTAAAAATATGGGTTGAAAAAGAATAATACATCACACATTTTCATATATACGCTCCGTTAATAGAGACAGTTTGATGGAAAGTTATAAAACAAATACGAGTCATTATATGTAATTCAATATATATAGTTGTGCACTTTGCGCCCTCGACGACGAATACTCGAACTACATTTTGCCAACCTTGAGAAGTCAAGAAAGGTAACATTCGGCACGATGTCTGTAGATTAGTTTGTATGAAAAACATCTAAAATGAATTAAAGGGCGGATGAATAATGACACAGGGAAACTAGAGATTAAAGGTAATTTATACAAATATGATTTCAATAATTCTATTATGTATTTCTATATTTGATGTTTTATAGTAAATAAAGGTGTGTGTGCATTTATAAACATTTTTTTATGACATTACCTTGATATTGCGAACTGAAAGGATATTTCAGCACTAACAATGGTCAAACAGTTAGTGAATTAACTCGCAACGTCATCAAAATGCCACCTTCCCCATAAATCCGGGAGAGGATACTTATGTACCTAGAAATGTGTACTATGATGTGTGTTTAAGAGGTTTGGAACGTGGTCATAGTTTTTATTTTATTTCTTTATTCCGCACTATATGGCCACCGGCCTAAAGTACTGTTACATTTCAAAACTTAAATTACACACGGTCGTTTTAAAATTACAAGATACATATACTTCAAATCATACTTCCATTTCAGTTTCTCTGTAATGAAAACTCTTAAACAAATATTTACCCAAACTTAGTAAAATATACGAGTTAGTACTCTGTAGCAATGCAATGAATTTCATCTTGGTTGGTGATGAAAA